TGCGCACCCAAAATTTTTCTCCCTTTACTTCTCCCCAAAACTCCCTTCCTCGCTTTTTCCGAGTCATCTTTTCTTGCTTTCTCCTTCACCAATCCGTTCTTCTCTTCCCTTCTTCCTCCTCCTTTGCACCCCTTTCCCTTTCTTCTCTTCCTTGCCCCTCTCCCTTCCCTGTCCAGCAGCACCCTCCTCTCCTCCCGTCTTTCTTCCTTTCCTTCTCTTCTTCCCCAGTTGCTCCTTCTCCCTCGGCTTCTCCCCTCTCCCCCCCATCTCCCCTCCCCCCATCTCCTCCGCCTCGCCACCCCTCCCCCCTCGCGCTCCTCCCTCTCCCCCCCCCCTCCGGGCCGGGGTCCGCCTGCATCAGTTGGGAGGGAGGGGCTCCATCTCTCCATCTCTCCTTCCCTCCCTCCCTCCCTCTCTCCCTCTCTCTCGGCTCCCGCCTCCCTGACGCGGCCGCTGATGCGGGCTCGGTGGGCGAGGCGAGCGGGCCAGGCAGCGGGGCCGGCGGGCGGGCGGGCGCCGAGAGCGGCCAAGCGGCGGCGGCGGCGGGCGAGCACCGGCCACCTCCCCTCCTAAGCCGGGGCGCCGCCGGGCACAGCGGCGTCGGGGGGGCGCCCTCTGGAACCTCCCACCGGCCACCCATCCCGCCCGGCTCCGGCCTCTCCATCCTCGGAGGCAACAGCAGCAGCGGACGACCCCACAACCCAACCCACCCCTCCACCCGTGCGCCCCGGCAGCACCCCACTTTCACCCCCCCACCCGCGCTCCCCCCCCCATGGCCTTCGGCTGAGAGGCAGCCGCTCTCCCCCTCCCTCCCTTCTCCCCCCCAACCCCCCCTTCCAGGATGCGGGCAGCGCTGGGCAACGGACGAGACCCCCCGACGGCGGCCCCGGCACCCCGAGAAGCGCGCAGGCGGCGGCGCCGGCGGCTCCAACCCTGCTCCTCCTGCTGCTGAGGCCGGTAAGGAGCCGCGACCCCGCTGGGGTTTTTTGGGGGGGGGGGAGAGACAGACCACCCACGACGGGCTGGGGTGGGGGGCGCAGAGCCACGCGGGCCCCGCCAGCACCTCCATCTTCATCCCGCATCTCCATCTTCCCCGCGCGCCTCCATCCCTCCGTTCGCCCGCTCCATCTCTCCATCACCCCCCCTCCAAAAGAAGAAGACTCCATTCGTCACCCCTCCACTTCTATAATCCCTTCTTCCTCACTGGCACCTGCTTCTCTCCCTCCCCCCATCTCTCCCCCCCCCCCCACACAACAGCAACCCAATTTGAATGGACGCACTCAGGGACGTAGGCCCCGGCACACGCGCGCTCCCCCTGCCTCTCCTCTCCCCCCTCCAACCTCCTTGCCACCCCAGAGCGGGCCCCCCCCACACGGAAAATGCCCCCCTTTCCCATTCCTCAGCCCCGTTTTCCAGAGGAATTAGAGCAAAATGCTGGCGTCGCCCCCCAGCGCAGCCGGCTTAGAAAACAAATAGATGCGATTCCCCTGCATCCTCCGTGCTAGCGCTGCCTCTCATCCTTCTGCAAAGGAGGAGCCGGGCCGGTAAAGCGTTTATTCCTTTATTCCTTCCTTCCTTTCTTCCTCCCTCCTGCTCTGCTTGTCGCCCTGGCTGCTGCCCCCGTCTCCCTTTGCTTACTTATCCATCCATCCATCTTGTTCCGCCTGACACCTGGTCTGTCATTTCCCTCTCTGCGTGTGTCCCCCCCCCCACAATTCCCCCGTTCCCTGCTCTCTTTCTCTCTCACATTCACCCCTTCCCCCCCCTCCTTCATTGCTCCATCCCCCCATCTAACCCTGCTCTGCAACAGGGGAGCGTTTTGGACCAGCGTTTGGCAGGGGGGGGGGGTCTCTCCTACCCACCTGCCTGCAGCTCAGTCAAGGCCCAACACGGTTGGGGGGGGGGGAGACCTTTCAGGGCTGGATGCGGCAACCCGAAATCCTGGCAGACCCCTGGACCGACCCCCCAAGCAGTGCTTGCAGGGGGCCGAGACCCCCTGCCAGTGTGGGTCAGAGGTGCTTTTCCTTTGGGGGGGAGGAGGGGAGCCTTTGGAGAAGATCTCCCCAGAGGTATGGCGGGGTGGTTGCTGTGAGAGCCAGGAGGATGTGGAGAGAAGGAAGGCAGTGAGGAGAGAGAGAGAGAGAGAGGGAGCGAGGAAAACGGTTGTGTGGAGGAATAATCCCCGGGCCTGGGATGTATGGAAGCTCAGGTTGAGGAGAAACCATCTGCCCTTTGGGGAATGATTGAGGACCATCCATCAGAGGAGGGGAAAGAGGGGCTTCGGAGGGCACGGAATTTGGGGGGCAGGCCCAGGATTTGGGGCGCAGGATGGAGGGGAGAGAGGGGTGGTTTCGGAGGCCGCTGAGCCTCAGCTAAGCCTCCCTCTCCTGGGACTAGCTAGAGCGAAGACTTGCAGGGTTGTAGCATCTTTGTCCATTATCAGCTATTGCTGCTGTAGATCTGTTTCTTTCTACCTGTCTGCTGTGATGCAGAGCAAAAGTGTTGTGGCGTGTTGTGTGTTGTGTGTGTGTGTGTGTGTATCTGATGGCGAGGGTGCAGGGTCGACGTCGCTGCTGCCTGCCCGAGTAGGCAACACTGAAGCAGGTATGACTCTGATATGACAAAAGGAGGTCGGTGTTTGGCCTGGGGGGGCAGGGGGCGGGGCAGGGAGTCCCCTTGGGAAAACTCTTTGAAAAAAGAAAAGAGGAAGGGAAAATGGGTTTGTGTTGGAGAGAGGATTCTGGCCAAATTTCTCTCGAACTCACCTCCACTCCATCTCCTCGCTTCCCCGCCAACCCCAGCAAGGCCTATGCCTCAGTGAAGCCTTCCTAAATTTGGTGATCCCTCCGGACAAAGGTGGACTCCCCCCTTCCCCCTCCTTTTCGCTATCGAGGGTTCAAGGAACAAATTCCTGCTTGTGGGTGGATACCAGCCATATATCAAAAGGGATTCCTCTTTGCTGCTGGTCTGGGGAGTTCCTCAGATCCCACTGTTTTTATTTCCCCAGTCTTCTAGTCCTTATTACGCACATGGCGAAACATTTCCGAGTCTTCTGATTAGTCAAGCACCTCCATCTGTTTTGGGACTACAACTCCCATCATCCCTAGCTAACAGGACCAGGGGTCAGGGATGATGGGAATTGTAGTCCCAAAACAGCTGGAGGGAGGGCTGAGTTTGGGGGTGCCTGGATTAGATAGTGTTTCTAGGACGCCACCGGATATTTCTCTCCCAGCTGTGGTCCTGGGATAGCAATGGGTTTTGGGGACTACAATTCCCATCGTCCACGACCCTTGGCCACGCTGTCTGTGGATCATGGGAGTCGGAGTCCAACGCATCCAGTGAGTGGCCACGCAGACGCCATGTCCCCATCCTAGATTCTCCTTCGGGGCTGGTGTGTGTGTATGTGTGATTGTGTAGAACTGACATGTGGGTTGGTGACATTAAAGTTCAGTGCGTGGGGTCAGGCTAGATGACCCCTCGGACCCCTTCCAGCTCCGCCGTTCTTAAGTTTGTTATTTGTTTGATGCACAAGCTGCCGTGGCTTCAGATCCCGAGCGGGACAAAAGGAAGTTTCACTCGCAACGTTGCAACGAGAGGGGAGAAAACAAAAACTGAACGGGGAGTTGATTTGCCAGTTGGGGGCGTCGTTTGTGTGCTAACCCAGCCCCCCAGTCCCCAAATCTGGGGGTGGAAGGAAGCAGTACAACAGAGCGGGCGCTTTGGAGCAGGGGAAATAACAGGGATTCGGTTAATTTGCGGAGGACAAACGTATTCATTCGATACTAGTCGTGACCGCTAAAGAGAACCTCCTTCCGCGGGGCAGTCTACCTTAGAATATTGGGTCGGTGGGGATAAATAGCAGGGCAGTTGGAGCTGTTGACACAAGTGGACCAGGCGGGCCTGATCCTGCAGGGCATGACTAACGCTTTGACTTATTTGTTGCATTTATATCATGCCTTTTTCCCTCTGAGGAGCTCAATGCGTGGTTTCTCACACTCATTTAATCGCCAGGTAGGTTGGGTTGAGAGACAGCGGCTCGCTTTGTGGCTGAGCTTTAAACCCGGGTCTCTCCCAGGCCTGGCACTCTAACCACTACGCCGCACTGTCAGAAGGACCGTTTCTGAGCATCCTGACCCGCCATTTCCCATCGCGCCTCCCTTCGTTAACAACGAGCCTGAGCAAAGGTCCTGCATTGCGGCGGGTTGGGCTAGATGACCGCTGGGGTCCCTCCCAGCTATATGTGAGACCTTCAGCCTAGAAACGGACGGGACGACTCTGCAAAACGGGGCCGCAGTCAGCTCAGGACAGAGCCAAGCCAGGACTGTCTGCGGAAGACACACAATCCGTTGGTGGAACTGACCGCAGCAAGTTGTCCCAATGGCCGTCGCCTTGGACCAGTCGACTTCTCCAACATGGCGCCCCCGTGCACCTGCTGAGAACTACAACTCCCATCGGTTCTGATGTCATACAGCCATGCTGACTAAGGCTGATGGGAGTCGTAGCTGGAGGAGCTTGAGGGTTTGGATGACTTGAGGGTTTGTCAAGGGCTTTTGAGCCTCCTTGTTCAGGGGCAGTCTAACCCCTTCATCTATAACCCCACCCTCCTCCCTGACTTTGTCCAGTCCTCTTTCGAAGCCCTCCAAGTTGGCAGCCATCAGTACCCCTTAGAACCATAGAATTGTACAGTTGGGAGGGGCACCCAAAGGTCATCCAGCCCAACCCCAAGCAATGCAGGAATCGCAGCCGAAGGATCCCTGGCAGGCAGCTTAAAAAAACTCCAGGGAAGGAGAGACCACCACCTTCCGTTCGGCTGTCACCGCCAGGAAGTCCTTCCTGATGTTGAGTCAGAATCTCCTTCCTTGTGGCAGTGAGTTCCGCTGGCTAACTGTGAAAACTTCAGGAGAGCCTTGTGGCAGCTGGGTCAAAGGGGGCCTGGCCAAGCCAGCATCCTGTTCTCCCAGAGGCCAACCATAGGCCCCAGTGGGAAACCTCAAAAGCAGGCCATGGGATAGCTCAGACAATAAAGCATGAGACTCTCAACCTTAGGGTTGTGGGTTCGAGCCCTGCGTTGGGCAAAAATATTCCTGCATTGTAGCGGGTTGGGCTAGATGACCCTTGGGGTCCCTTTCGACTCTAAGATTGTACAGCAAGTCTCCCTACTTGGCAGAGCCGAGCCATCATGGCCTTCGAAAGCTTCAAGAATTTGCCTAAACCGCTTCCAGAGCAGTCCAAGTTGGTCTGACCCAACGGAGTTTCCCTTAAGTGTGTGTGTGTGTGTGTGTGTGTGTGTGTGTTTGTGGGCAGGCAGGTGTGTGGTCTGTGGTTAGAGGTGCCTGCCTAGGATCTGGGAGGGACCAGGGTTCAAAGCCCCCGCTTTGCCATGCTGACCTCTCGACCCGTCCTGGCTCACAAGATTGTTGTGGGGTTTAAATGAGGGGCAGGGAGAACCATAAAGGCGCCTTGAGCTCCTTGTAGGAAAAGGTGGGATGGGCTTGGAGGAGGAGTCCTAATGCCAGGGCAGAGGCTCAGGCCTGCCCTCCCTCCCTCTTATTTCATATTCCTTCCCTTCTTTTCCTTCCTTCCTTCCTTCCTTCCTTCCTCCTATTTCATATTCCTTCCCTTCTTTTCCTTCCTTCGCTCTTTTTCATATTCCTTCCCTTCTTTTCCTTCCCTTTCCTTCCTTCCTTCCTTCCTTCCTTCCTTCCTTCCTTCCTTCCTTCCTTCCTTCCTCCCTCCTATTTCATATTCCTTCCCTTCTTTTCCTTCCTTCCCTCCCTCTTTTTTATATTCCTTCCCTTCTTTTCCTTCCTTCCTTCCTTCCTTCCTTCCTTCCTTCCTTCCTTCCCTCTTTTTCATATTCCTTCCCTTCTTTTCCTTCCTTCCTTCCTTCCTTCCTTCCTTCCTTCCTTCCTTCCTTCCTTCCTTCCTTCCTTCCTTCCTTCCTTCCTTCCTTCTATTTCATATTCCTTCCCTTCTTTTCCTTCCTTCCTCCCTCTTATTTCATATTCCTTCCCTTCCCTTCCTTCCTTCCTTCCTTCCTTCCTTCCTTCCTTCCTTCCTTCCCTCTTATTTCATATTCCTTCCCTTCCCTTCCTTCCTTCCTTCCTTCCTTCCTTCCTTCCTTCCCTCTTATTTCATATTCCTTCCCTTCTTTTCCTTCCTTCCTTCCTTCCTTCCTTCCTTCCTTTGCTCTTTTTCATATTCCTTCCCTTCTTTTCCTTCCTTCCTTCCTCCTATTTCATATTCCTTCCCTTCTTTTCCTTCCTTCCCTCCCTCCCTCTTTTTCATATTCCTTCCCTTCTTTTCCTTCCTTCCTTCCTTCCTTCCTTCCTTCCTTCCTTCCTTCCCTCTTTTTCATATTCCTTCCCTTCTTTTCCTTCCTTCCTTCCTTCCTTCCCTCTTATTTCATATTCCTTCCTCCTTCCTTCCTTCCTTCCTTCCTTCCTTCCTTCCTTCCTTCCCTCCCCCTTTTTCATATTCCTTCCCTTCTTTTCCTCCCTCCCTCCCTCCTTCCCTGCTTCTACTTCTCTTCCCCAGGACTCCTTCAGTTGTGGGGCCGTGTGGGGCAGAGGTGATGGATTTGACTAAGGACGTAAGGAGGAGAAACCTCATTTGCGCCCCATGGCTGGGCTCTCCTTCCGCAGTTGGAGGCAGCGATTATGCTTCTGAATACCAGTTGCAGGATGGGATCTTGGGTTCGAGTCCTGCTTGCGGCTTTCCTATGATGGGCTCCTGGCTGGCCACTGTGAGGACAGGGGCTGGATTGGATGGGATCCTGGCCTGATCCACCCAGGCTGATTTGGGGGCGCAAATGGACTGCGGCCTGACAAATCTGTGCCAGCGAATCGAGAAGTGTTGCCCTAAATGCATGTTTGGGCTGAAGGTCTGAGCATGGGAGTCAGGCTGTCTAACTCAATACCGCTTGCACGGGCTGGCAGCAGCAGTGGCTCTCTGGGATTCTGGGCGCGTTTGTCTCCCAGCCCTGCCTGGAGATGTCACTTGGGATCGAACCTTCTGCAAGCCAAACAGGTGTCCTGCCATGAAGTTGTGGCCTTTCCACTAATATTCTAGGCCTCATAGTTGTGAGCCAAGGCCTGGTGTGCAGGTTTCAGGCACCAGGCCTCACCCAGTCTTGCCCAGAGATGCCGCTGGGGGTTAAACCTTCTACATGCCAAGCAGCTGCTCTACCTCTAAGCTACATTCTTTCTGCTGGATAGACTAGAGATTACTGGCAAGGGGTGTTTAAAGCCCTATATGGCCTAAGACCCACATACCTACGGGACCGCCACTCCTGGTATGCCCCGCAGAGGACCTTCAGGTCCATAAATGACAACACCTTGGAGGTCCCAGGCCACAGGGAGGTTAGGCTGGCCTCAACCAGAGCTAGGGCTTTTTCGGCTGTGGCTCCAATCTGGTGGAACGCTCTGTCCCAAGTGACCAGGGCCCTGCGGGACCTGACATCTTTCCGCAGGGCCTGCAAGACAGAGCTGTTCCACCAGGCCTTTGGTCAGGGCGCAGCCTGACTCCCTCCTCTGGCAATCTGCACAGAATTTTGCTTAACGGTTGCCATCAATTTGATTTTAATTAATTTTTATAATGAAATGTTTTTAGAATGTTGGATTATTTGATTGTTGTTAGCTGCCCTGAGCCCGGCTTCGGCTGGGGAGGGTGGGATATAAATAAAAATTTATTATTATTATTATTATTAGTGTGTGCGTATTTGCCTGTGGAGTCCAGGACCAAGAGAGATATTTGGGGTTGGTTTTTTTTTGAGGTGGAGTTTGTGGTCTAACCCAGCCTTCCCCAAATTGGACCTCTCCTGATGTTAGTATGAAGAATTTGTGAATATACTTACGGATATTCTATCACATGTACATAGAATCGTAGAATTGTAAGGGACCCCGAAGATCATCTAGTCCAACCTGCTGCAGTGCAGGAGTCTTTGGCCCAACATGGGATTCAAACCCACAACCCTGAGATTAGGAGTGCCATGCTCTTCCAACAGAGCCATCCTTCGGGACAATATTAGTACTATTGCTAATGATGTTACTGTTTTGGACAGCGACTGGGCACCTCGAGGGCACCAGGTTGGGCAGGGCTGTCCTGGCCGAGCAGGGGGAATTGGGAGCCCGGACTCCTGGGTTCTGGCGGGTCAGTGCAGAGCATGTTGGGTCCGGGAGACAGGGCCCCACCTAGCCGAAATTCTCGTGGACTTGGACAGAAGATGGCAAGGAAGTCTCTGGGTAGGCTGAGGTACCCACGATGCCAGATTCTTGGGGAAGACAGCAGGCTTGCCGCGAACCCATCATGTTGGGGACCCCCAAGGGCCATCTAGCCTGACCCCCTGCGAGGCAGGAATCCCAGCTCAGGAATCCCTGGCAGATGGGTTTCCCCAAGCAAGGAGAGTCCACCTTTTGAGGGAACCCATCCCTTATAGAAAGTTCAGTCGCAATCTCCTTTATTAACGCCTAAGATAATAGGTCTGGGGGTGCGAGCCCCTCTGGCAGAGCAGCCCTTCCAGGTGGCTTGCCCAGAGAGGAAGGCCCTCTGCGCTTCCTCAGAGGCCCTCTTGCCCATTTTCGCTGATGCCTTGTTTCCTTTAGATAACCTGGTTCTCCTGGCAGGCGCAGAGAAAGCTGTAATCTCATGACAGGTGGATGAATATTTGCGGGGTTTTCGGGGCGCAGAAGAGGCCTCTCCCCCGGCTCCGAATCCAGCCCCCCCCCCGTGTGGTGGGGGTGTGTGTGTGGGGGGTCCCACCCAGCCCACCGCAGGGATTTCAGGCAGGGATGAGTAAGCGGGGAGAACGGCGGCGGCTCTGGAAACCCGGTTGCCACGGATACCCGTAGTGACTGCCGCCACGGCAACGGGCCCATGCCTTTACGCCGGGAGATTGTGGGGTTGTGGAGGGGGGGGGGAGAGGGAAAAAAAAGGAGGGTGGTGGTGGTGCAGGGAAGGAAGGAATCTCCCCTGAGCTGCCCCCCTTCTTGCGCTCCTCTGCGTCGCCATCCCTCTCCTTGCGCGGCCGCCACGGGGCTAGAGCATCGCTGCCTTAGCAACACCTTCGGGGAACCAGCGATGGGAGAGACCCGTAGGTGGGCAGTGGGGGCGAGAGGGGTGCCCCGGTGCCAGATGGAGACGTGGGCTCGATCCAGGCCTGGCTTTCCAGCAACGCAGGGCGGCTGGCTGTGTGCGCCTCCTCCGTGCAAAACGCTCCGCGCGCGTTCCTCTCCCCTACGCGTAATAATAACCCTTTCCTCCTCTTGCGCGCGTGTCCCTCCCTTTCCCCCCCCCGCAGTGTGCTTTGCAGCATGGGGGGGGTTTGGGGGGAGGGGCTGGCAGGCAGGCAGCAAGCGGCTCCTTCCGTGGATTTACGGCCGGCCGATCCCCGAAAGGAGGAGGGGGGGAAAGAGGAAATAAAAGATCCAACAAAACTGCCCTAAAGGGACATCCATTATTAATAAAAAAGATTGTTCCTCGCCGTGACCGCAGGAAGGAGGGAATGGGGAAGGCATAGAGGAGGAGGAGAGGAGAGGAGGAGGGAAAGGAGGAGGCCGGCGCTCGCTTCTCCCCTCTCCTGCTGCAGGATTTCGGCAGAATATTTGACACACTCGCTCTCTCCATATTTATCTCCTCGCCCGCTTTCCCTGTTCGCCATCAGCTGTGCTGCTGGGCCTTCCGCACTTTCCAGAGTGGAATTCCCTCCTGCCCCTTTTAAACTGCGAATCTGGCCCCCTCCCAGGACAATTGCATGCATCCCTTTTGCCCCTTCCTTTGTCGGCAAGCGCCAGGATCCAGGTGGGATGCCCAGTGGGTGGCTTGTCTTCTTGGCACCCCCACAGCACCCAGCCTGGGTGCCCCGGCCACCCTCTCTCTGCCTCCGCCAAGCTGCAAGCCAGCACCCTCAGAGGCCTCCTCCTGTTTTGCTTCCTTTTCACACGTCTAAAACAGAGAGGGCCGCTGTTAACAACGGGCGGAAAGGTGATGATCAGGACTGTAAAATGGGCACGCAGAACGAGCGCAGGTGCGCAGCGGTTAAAATGTAAAGGATATCAGCGTTGTCGGGCTGGCGAGTTTAGTTCCAGATTCGCCGGGCTTTGCCAGGAATATGTCTGTTCCTCGTTTGGGGGTGGTTAGAGCTTACCCGCCCTCCTCAGTTAATTCCCACAACCACCCTGAGAAGTAGGCCAGGAGGCTGTAAGAGTCCTCGTCCGACACTAACGACTACATCGCACTGGCGGGGCAGCTCTGTAAATTAAGTAGGTAATAAACATGAAGAGAGCAAAATGTCACTTAGAGAAACATTTTCCTTCAATCTTGACTTTTATTCCAGATGGTTTTATTTGACGTTTTGCTGCGTTGTAAACCACTTTGAGGCTGTTTCTGTCAAATACCAAGCAGCCCCCCAAAAATATAATAAAACAATAGATTCTGTTGCAAAATAAAGGGTGCCTAGACATTCTGTTGGGGTGACCGCAGCCTAGGTTTTAAGGCTCCATTTGATGGTTAGGTTAGATATATCTGAGTTTCTAACCCCGGCAGGAAATTTTTTTCCCAGCGGAGGGCTCGAACCCACAACCCGGAGATGAAGAGCTCTCCGAGTTGTCCGGGCCTAAATCGGTTCCTGGGTGTCAGATCTCCCTCTTTCCGAAAGTTGGCTGGCAAAATTGGGGTGTTGGGGTAGAGGAGGCAGTTGCCCCTATCAGCCCCCTCCCTGCCAGTTGGCCCCCCGAGCCAAGGGGACAAGGCCGAGTCTGGTTTGGGGCCTGGGAGACAAGTGTCTACCCCACCCGCTTGCCTCTGGCCCTCTGCCCAGCCGGGAGATGGTGGCTTTCTTGTCCTGGCCGCCGTCCAGGGCAGCCTTTTCTATTGAGGATCTCGTTTCCGGCCCTGTGCCCCCTCCTCCCTTCACCCTTGCCAGCTGCACCGAGACACAGCCAGGCGCCACAGAGAATCCCCCTCCCCATCCAGCCCGGGAGCTGGGGAGATAAATATTTTTGGGGTGGAAGGCATGTCCGAGCAGAGGCCAGGTAACCGACCCGTCCTAGAGGACCCGGGTTCTCCCATATACAGGAACAGCTTTCTCTCTCTTCCTCCCCGCCTGCCAGAACGGATCTAGAAGAACGTTGGCTCCAGATCACACGCCCTCCTGTTTTCCAGTAAATAGTGGCCGCTCCGTCCAAGCAGCCGTGGCCGACCAGGCGCCCTTTGGATCTTCTGCGCTACAACTCCCATCAACAACTCTCTCCCCCCAGCCAGCACATCTGTTTTGGCAAGGGAGGGAGTGGTGCTGATGGGAGTTGTGGTCCAAAAGTGGCGCCCGGACGTCGGCGGGGATGGGAAGTCCAGCCTCTCACCTGGGTCTTGATTCAGGACGGATCTCAGTTGGGGAGAGAGAAGTGAAAGTCCTTCGTCACGCGGCGGAGAGTTAAACTGCGGAACTCCCTGCCACTGACCTAGGTGGCTTTGAAAGAGGGCTGGGCAAATTCACAGAGGAGGAGAGGGCTATCGATGGCTACTAGCCAAAGTGTTGGTGTTGACCTTTAAAGCCCTAAACGGCCTCGGCCCAGTATACCTGAAGGAGCGTCTCCACCCCCATCGTTCTGCCCGGACACTGAGGTCCAGCTCCGAGGGCCTTCTGGCGGTTCCCTCACTGTGAGAAGCAAAGCTACAGGGAACCAGGCAGAGGGCCTTCTCGGTGGTGGCGCCCGCCGTGTGGAACGCCCTCCCGTCAGATGTCAAGGAAATAAACAACTACAGTGGTACCTTGGGTTAAGTACTTAATTCGTTCCGGAGATCTGTTCTTAACCTCAAACTTCTTAACCTGAAGCACCACTTTAGCTAATGGGGCCTCCTGCTGCTGCCGCGCCGCCGGAGCACGATTTCTGTTCTCATCCTGAAGCAAAGTTCTTAACCCGAGGTACTATTTCTGCATCAGCAGAGTCTGTAACCTGAAGCGTATGTAACCTGAAACGTATGTAACCCAAGGTACTACTGTACATGACATTTAGAAGACATCTGAAGGCAGCCGTGTTCAGGGAAGTTTTAAATGTGTGACATTTTAATGTCTATTTGTTGGAAGCTGCCCAGAGTAGCTGGGGAGACCCAGCCAGATGGGTGGGGTACAAATTTATTATTATTATTATTATTATTATTATTATTATTATTGCCAGGATGGCTGTGCTCTGCCTCTGCAGTTTGAGGCAGCCGGACTATCCCCTTGAACCCAGAACACCCTCACCAGCATTTTATTTATATTTCTCTGAACCCGCTGCAATGGAGTAGACCCCTTATGTTAATTGCTAATGAAAGGATCTCTGTTGGGAAATGGTGGGTGAACGACGCCCGAAAGCATCCTTCTGTCAAAAGAGGCTCAGTGTGGTCGGACGAGGGAGAGACCCGGGTTCAAATCCCCCCTCCCACTTGGCTATGAAATTTACTGGGTGTCCTTGCGGGGCCGGTCGCTGCCTCTTTCAGCCTACCCTACCTCACAAGGTTGTTGTTCCATGCCACATTGAACTCCTGGGAGAAAAAGGTGGTCCACCAATGCAATCTTAACAGGTCAAGAAAATGTTTTGGACTACAACTCCCATCAGCCTCCAGGAGTTGCAATGTGGGAGGGGAACTCAAATTCATTTGCATTTAAAGGCAAACTCGATCCAATTCTGATTTCCGGGAACGAGAGGTGGAACTGAAACCTGGCTACCCTTCGCTAATTCAACGCCGTCCAGTTTTTGCAGCGTTTATGTTTCCTTCATCCAACGTTGCATTCCTATACATTAGCGTAAAGCACGGGCACGACCGCATGCACTGGTGAAAAGGACCTACAGAAATGCCTTTGCAAAAATGTGTATATTGGGCAAAATATGCATATGACCGCGTGTGCAAGTTAGGAGAAATTTGCACTTGAATGTTGGCGAATTACCATGGTGCCTTAAAAAAAATAAATGCAATTGGATGTGGAGTTTAAGACTGGATAAATGAGAATCATCCCTGGTTGGACAAAGGGCAGCAGGTTGACCAAGAATGTCTTATTATTTTTTTAAAAATATTTTTATACGGTTTTACATATACAAATTTATAACAAATACAAGCACAACTCCATGTAAAGAGATACCTCTGAATCTCTGGACTTCCCCCTATCCCTTCCATGGCTCCTACTGTCAACATTTACACCTGTGTGGCGCTGTGGTCTAAACCACTGAGCCTAGGGCTTGCCGATCAGAAGGTCGGAGGTTCGAATCCCCGCAATGACGGGGTGAGCTCCCGTTGCTCGGTCCCTGCTCCTGCCAACCTAGCAGTTCAAAAGCACGTCAAAGTGCAAGTAGATAAATAGGTACCGCTCTGGCGGGAAGGAAAACAGCGTTTCCGTGCGCTGCTCTGGTTCGCCAGAAGCGGCTTAGTCCTGCTGGCCACATGACCCGGAAGCTGTACGCCGGCTCCCTCGGCCAATAAAGCGAGATGAGCGCCGCAACCCCAGAGTCGGCCACGACTGGACCTAACAGTCAGGGATCCCTTTACCTTTACCTTTATCAATCCATTGGGACGCGGGTGGCGCTGTGGGTTAAACCACAGAGCCTAGACCATGGGTAGGCAAACTAAGGCCCAGAGGTCAGATGCAGCCCAATAGCTTTCTCAATCCAGCCTGCGGACGGTCCAGGAATCAGTGTGTTTTTACATGAGTAGAATGTGTCATTTTATTTAAAATGCATCTCTGGGTTATTTGTGGGGCATAGGAATTCATTCATATTTTTTTTTCAAAATATAATCTGGCCCCTCACAAGGTCTGAGGGACAGTGGACCGGCCCCCCTGTTGAAAAAGTTTGCTGACCCTTGGTTTAGACCCTTGTATAAAGGTAAAGGGACCCCTGACCATTAAGTCCAGTCGTGACTGACTCTGGGGTTGCGGCGCTCATCTCACTTTATTGGCCGAGGGAGCCGGCGTACAGCTTCCGGTTCATGTGGCCAGCAGGACTAAGCCGCTTCTGGTGAACCAGAGCAGCGAACGGAAATGCCGTTTACCTTCCCGCCGGAGTGGTACCTATTTATCTACTTGCACTGGTGTGCTTTTGAACTGCTAGGTTGGCAGGAGCAGGGACCGAGCAACAGGAGCTCACCCCGTCGCGGGGATTCGAACCGCCGTCCTTCTGACTGGCAAGTCCTAGGCTCTGTAGTTTAACCCACCGTGCCACCTGCATCCCTAGACCCTTGTATACCCCTCCCCATTTGTGACATGCTAGTGATGTAGCGATGATGTATCAGTGATGCCTCTCGAAGTGTATTCTGGGGGAAAGAGGGAAGTTTTAAAAGAGGAGATCACCCCCTGCTCGGGGTTCTTACTCCTGTAGGGACCTTTGTGCAACAATAAAGATTGTGATCTACTGACCGCTCTTTTGCTCCAAATTTGTCATACCTCGGGTTACAGCTGCTTCAGATTGCGTTTTTTCGGGTTACAGACCCGCCGAAACCCAGAAGTACCCATGGTCTAAACCACAGAGCCTAGGGCTTGCAGATTGGAGGGTCGGCGGTTCGAATCCCCGCGACAGGGTGAGCTCCCATTGCTCGGTCCCTGCTCCTGCCAACCTAGTAGTTTGAAAGCACGTCAAAGTGCAAGTAGATAAATAGGTACCGCTCCAGCAGGAAGGGAAACGGCGTTTCCGTGTGCTGCTCTGGTTAGCCAGAAGTGGCTTAGTCATGCTGGCCACATGACCCGGAAAAACTGTCTGCGGACAAACGTTGGCTCCTTCGGCCAGTAAAGTAAGATGAGCGCTGCAACCCCAGAGTCGTCCGCAACTGGACTTAACGGTCAGGGGTCCCTTTACCTTTACCTTTACACAAGGGTTACGCAAGTTCAACATTAGGTCACTTTATCAGACACCTTTCCCAACACCTCTTAAGTCCCCATCACCCAAAAGAACAGTCAAACTCTTGACATCTCCTTGCCCTCAGGACCTGTCTGGAGATGGGCTTTCAGAACACCTGACTTGCTCAACTGCCTCTGGGGATGTCTATGGTTGTCCCCCTGGTCATTCCCTGGGTGGGGGGCTCTGAATGCCCTCTCACGCTTGGGGAATTATGGCGGGATGCCCTGTTCCTGCTTCTTGGTTCACGGAGGGAGGTGGAGCCCAAATTCACCTTTCTTTCAGGCTTAAAATGGTCTCGGAATGAGGAGAGTCAGTTCAAGTATGGATTTTCTACGAATTTATAAAGCTAGATTTCTTCCCTGCGCTGTCAAGTCGAAAGGATACGTTCAGGCATAATATTTGCATCATGTAACAACTATAAAGATGTGTTTTCTCCCTTGTCATTTCCGTAACAAAAAGAATGGGGGAAATTCTTAATTTATTTAGGAGACCACTATGAGCAGATGAAAAGATTAGCAGGATTTTAACCTCACTTGTCATGTAACAAGTACTATGGATAATCTGGATAGATTCAAAATATAGATTATGAAATAATATGGAGTTGAAAATGTTGTCAATAGGACCCATGGAGGGGATGAAGTCTTGAGATTCAGAAAAATCTCTCTTTATGTATATGTATTTGATATATATATATATATAGTCAAATAAAAACGATTTCCTAAAAAATAAGAAGAAAATAGGGATCTCCTATTTAATAATGTGCAGCTTAACATACATAAAAACATAATAAAACGTTAAACGTTGAAAAGCTTCCCCATACAAGGCTGTCTTCAGATGTCTTCTAATGGTTGTATAGTTACAGTGAGGGGGGGGAAGTATTTGATCCCCTGCTAAATCTGCCCGTTTGCCCTCTGACAAAGCAATGACCAGTCCATAATTTTAATGGTAGGTTTACTGTAGCTGTGAGAGACAGAATAACAACAGGAAAAAACCCCCAGAAACCCCAGAAGTCAGAAATTGGTGTGCATTATATAATGAGTGAAATAAGTATTTGATCCCCTGTCAACCAGCCAGATGTCAGGCTACCTGGTATCCTCCTCACTGGATCTCCTTGACTCGGGGGTCCCATAACCCCATACCCTCTCCGCTGAGAATAGGAGCGTCCTGATCGCCGAAGAATGGATGCTTTTGAATTCTGGTGCTGGAGGAGACTCTTGAGAGTCCCATGGACTGCAAGAAGATCAAACCTCTCCATTCTGAAGGAAATCAGCCCTGAGTGCTCACTGGAAGGACAGATCCTGAAGCTGAGGCTCCAAGACTTTGGCCTCCTCATGAGAAGAGAAGACTCCCTGGAAAAGACACTGATGTTGGGAAAGATGGAGGGCGCAAGGAGAAGGGGACGACAGAGGACGAGATGGTGGGACAGTGTTCTCGAAGCTACTAGCATGAGTTTGACCAAAGTGCGGGAGGCAGTGGAAGACAGGAGTGCCTGGTGTGCTCTGGTCCAGGGGGTCACGAAGAGGCGGACATGACTAAACGACACAGCAACAACAACAACAAGGAAAAGTGGGAGGTTCCGGGATCAGTTCAGAAACTGGGACGGTTTCTGTCAATCCGGGACTGTCCCTGGAAAATTGGGATACTTTGAGGGTCTGTCTCCCCCTGGGCTCCCTCCCTTGGGGGTTCCCTGGCTGGTGCCTCCTACCATTCAACGGCATCCAGGCAGTCCATGGCAAGACTTCGAACTGTGGAACTCCCTGCCACTGGAGTCAGTGATGGCCATGAACCTGGATGGCTTTAAAAGAGGGCAGGACAAATTCATGGAGGGGGAGAGGGCTATTGATGGCTCCACCCCCATCATTCAGCCCAGACGCTGAGGTCCAGCTCCGAGGGCCTTCTGGCGGTTCCCTCTCTGTGAGAAGCCAAGTTACAGGGAACCAGGCAGAGGGCCTTCTCGGTGGTGGCGCCCGCCCTGTGGAACGCCTTCCCTTCAGATGCCAAGGAAATAAACAACCACCAGACTTTTAGAAGACATCTGAAGGCAGGCCTGTTCAGGGAAGTTTTTAATGTTTGATGTGCTTTTAATGTTCTGTTGAAAGCTGCCCAGAGTTGCTGGGGAAACCCAGCCAGATGGACAGGGTAGAAATAATAAATTATTATTATTATTATTATTATTACTCCTCCTAGCCACAATGGCTCTGTCCTGCCTCCACGGTTGGAGGCAGCGATGCCTCTGAATTCCCTCCTGGAAACCGCAGGAGGGGAGAGCGGGTCTTGTGTTCGAATCCTGATTGCGAGTTTCCCACCATGGGCATCTGGGTGAGAACAGGATGCTAGATGGCGCTCTTCTGAGCAGCGTTCAAAATCAGCCACGCTCCAGGTGCCTTTTGCACCTGACTATCGGCCACCTTGGCAACAAAGGTCCGTATAGTTAAACCATGGTTTTCCCAGGAGTGATGGATGGAAGTGAGAGCTGGACCATAAAGAAGGCTGATCGACGAAGAATGGATGCTTTTGAATTCTGGTGCTGGAGGAGACTCTTGAGAGTCCCATGGACTGCAAGAAGATCAAACCTCTCCATCCTGAAGGAAATCAGCCCTGAGTGCTCACTGGAAGGACAGATCCTGAAGCTGAGGCTCCAAGACTTTGGCCACCTCATGAGAAGAGAAGACTCCCTGGAAAAGACCCTGATGTTGGGAAAGATGGAGGGCGCAAGGAGAAGGGGACGACGGAGGACGAGATGGTGGGACAGTGTTCTCGAAGCTACCAGCATGAGTCTGACCAAACTGCGGGAGGCAGTGGAAGACAGGAGTGCCTGGCGTGCTCTGGTCCAGGGGGCCACGAAGAGGCGGACACCACTAAACGACTAAACAACAACAAATCGGCCACCTGTGACCAGGTGAAGATGCCCGGGTGCCCATCCTGACGTCTCCACCATCTTGCGGATCCTTGGAGCAGGACTGTTTCCGCACACTCGTACCCCCGTCCCGTAGAATTCCATCAGCTATATTTTCTCTGCACAATTGGAACGAATTTCCGGAACCAAACCGCTTTTTCTGCGCGGCCTGAGAAGGTGTCCTCACCCTTAAGAAAAAGAGGTAGGGACGGGCCGATATATACCGTATTTTCCCGTGTATAAGATGATGTTTCCCCCCTAAAAACGAATGTCAAAAATTAGGGGCTGGATAGATATACATGGATAGCGTCGAGGGTAGACTGGCAATTGGTTGTCGCCCCAAAAATCGGGGGGGGGGGGTGTCTTATAGGCAGAAAAATATGGTATGTGGGCAGTACCTGGATCAATAATAATAATAATAATAATTTATTATTTGTAATACCCCATCTGGCTGGGTTTCCCAGCCACTCCAGAAGCGAGAATCAATCACAGCCAGTCCAACATTTGAAAAAATAAGACATTACAGCCGCCTGGCCCCAAAATGGCAACTGGACATTCCGTTTTGGCGACTAACCTTGGTTTTAGGAGCCATTTGGTGCCTAGATTATACATCTGAGTTTCTAACCCTGCTTCTGAGGTTCCTGCGTATTGTGGTGGGCCTCTGTGGGGCGGGTGTTTGTGGCCCTGTCCTTCATCGGTTCCCCTCCTGTTGAAAAGGTCGTGTCCAGAGATCAGAACTGGGAACGTGCATTCCAACTTCACGTGTGCTATGGTGTCCTGCAGGGTCCATTCTCTGAAAACCGATGGCTTAATATCTCGCGGTCATTTGGGGGTAAAGACTGCTACCGGCACGCTTCTCTAGCAGAGCCTTATGGATCAGGCTTATCTTAGTCCAGCATTCTGTTCTCACAGTGGCCAACCGGGTGCCCATCGTAGGAAACCCGCCTTCAGGATTCGAACACAAGACCCGCTCTCCCGTCTTGTGGGTTCCGGCAACTGGGATTCGGGAACATTTGTGCCTCAATCCACAGAGGCAGAGAGCGTTCAGACAGCTGAACCTCCGGCGCTTGGTGAATTCTTTTTAAAAAATAAAAATAAAATCCAGCAAGCTTTTTAGTTGAATTCTGGTTTTAGCTCGTTTTTATTTTCATTGCCCTGAGTTTTTTCCAGAGACGGCTACGTTTAAGCGGGATGCGAATTTGCCTAAATAGATAAATAGGTACAGCGTTGCCCTGGGCTCCTTTGGGAGGGAGGGAGGGCGAGAACAGAAATTTAATAAAGAAATAAAATAAAAACGGGCCTCTATCTCAACCGTGTCAGCGCAGCCAAGCTTCCATCAGCCCAACAATTACACTGGCTGGGTGCTGGAGTCCCAAACAGCTGGAAGGCATCAGGCTGGGATTTGGCTAACGCATGTAAGAAATAATATTATTACAATTATATATGTGTTGCATTTATATCCCACCTTTTCCCTCTGAGGATCTCAAGGCGGCACAGGCAGGGTTCTCCCTTCCCTCATTACAACAGCCCTGTGAGGTTGTTGTTGTTGAGTCGTTTAGTCGTGTCCGCCTCTTTGTGACCCCCTGGACCAGAGCACGCCAGGCACTCCTGTCTTCCACTGCCTCCCGCAGTTTGGTCAAACTCATGCTGGTAGCTTCGAGAACACTGTCCCACCATCTCGTCCTCTGTCGTCCCCTTCTCCTTGTGCCCTCCATCTTTCCCAACATCAGCGTCTTTTCCAGGAGTCTTCTCTTCTCAAGATGTGGCCAAAGTATTGGAGCCTCAGCTTCAGGATCTGTCCTTCCAGTGAGCACTCAGGGCTGATTTCCTTCAGAATGGAGAGGTTGGATCTTCTTGCAGTCCATGGGACTCTCAAGAGTCTCCTCCAGCACCAGAATTCAAAAGCATCCATTCTTCGGCCATCAGCCTTCTTGATGGTCCAGCTCTCACTTCCATACATCACTACTGGGAAAACCATGGCTTTCACTATACGGACCTTTGTTGGCAAGGTGATGTCTCTGCTACCCTGTGAGGTAGACTAGGTTAAGAGAGGGGAAGTGGTGGGCACAGCTTCACAGCCAAGTAATAGTAACAACAACAACAACAAATTTATTTATACCCCGCCCTCCCCAGCCAGAGCTGGGCTCAGGGCGGCTAACAGCAGTAAAATCACAGTAAAAACATAATAGGGGAAAAAGAGAGGGGGAGAGAAAAAAGGAAAAGGGAGGGGAAATTAAAATACAGGATAAATTCAATTTAAGATGCAGCCTCATTTTAAAAGCAGCCCATAGATCAAGACCATAAGGGGAGGGAAATATAAGGGTCAGACCGAGTCCAAACCAAAGGCTAAGCGGAACAGCTCCGTCTTGCAGGCCCTGCGGAAAGATGTCAAGTCCCACAGGGCCCTGGTCTCTTGGGACAGAGCGTTCCACCAAGTCGGGGCCAGTGCTGAAAAGGCCCTGTCCCTAGTTGAGACCAATCTAACCTCCTTGTGACCTGGCACCTCCAAAGTGTTGTCATTTGTGGACCTCTCCGCGGGGCGTATCAGGAGAGGCGGTCCCGTAGGTACGTGAGTCCTAGGCCACATCGAAGTAGGGGGACTTCACCCCTGGTCTGCCCCATGCCCCAGTCGAGCGCTCTAACCACTACGCCACACTGCCTCTCATCAAGCACTGGAGGCTTTCTCATGGGAAGGGAGCTGGTTGGACCGAGGTGCCTCTGGCAAAGGCGAGGTGGTCGGGTAGTCGGCGGCTCTAAAAGGCAAATAATAATAATTAGCAGTAATAATTAGCATTTATATAGTGCTTTCGAAAGGCAAAATGGTTGGTATTATTCTAATTTGCCCGATTATTCTTCATAATAATGCTGGTTGTGTGGTGGGGATGAAGTGTCTTGATGTGTTTTTTCGCGGGGAGAGGGAATCGTTTGAATCCACCGATGATGCCTTTGTTTCCACGCTGCTGACGAGGCGAAAACCAATAAGTGAATTGTCGAATTCTAGAATGGGGAGGTTTCCCAGGGGTCATCTAGTCCAACCCACTGAAAATGCAGGAATCCCAGCAAAAGCATCCATGACAGATGGCCACCTGACCTCTGTTTAAAAGCCTCTAGCGAAGGAGAACCCAAGGGAGAACGCTCCATTACGGTCAGAAAGTCCTTCCTCCTGTTCTGTCGGGATCTCTTTGCTTGTCATTTGAATCGACTCGGATCCTGCCCTACGGAGCAGGAGAAAGCAAGCTTGCTCCATCTTCCTTATATCAGCCATGAGATATTTGGTGAGATATTTTGGCGCTGTGGTTTAAACCACAGAGCCTAGGGCTTGCCGATCAGAAGGTCGGTGGTTCGAATCCCCGCAATGACGGGGTGAGCTCCCGTTGCTCGGTCCCTGCTCCTGCCCACCTAGCAGTTCGAAAGCACGCCAGTGCAAGTAGATAAATAGATACCGCTCCAGCAGGAAGGTAAACGGCGTTTCCGTGCACTGCTCTGGTTCGCCAGAAGCGGCTTAGTCATGCTGGCCACATGACCCGGAAGCTGTACGCCGGCTCCCTCGGCCAGTAAAGCGAGATGAGCGCCGCAACCCCAGAGTCGGCCACGACTGGACCTAATGGTCAGGGGTCCCTTCACCTTTATACATACACAATGGGACGCTGATGGCGCTGTAGGTTAAACCACAGAGCTCAGGGCCTGCCAATCAGAAGGTCGGCGGTTCGAATCCCTGTTGCTCGGTCCCTGCTCCTGCCAACCTAGCAGTTCGAAAGCACACCAGTGCAAGTAGATAAATAGGTCCCGCTCCGGCCGAAAGGTCAACGGCGTTTCCGTGCGCTGCTCTGGTTCGCCAGAAGCGGCTTAGTCATGCTGGCCACATGACCTGGAAGCTGTACGCCGGCTCCCTCGGCCAGTAAAGCGAGATGAGCGCCGCAATCCCAGAGCCGGTCACGACTGGACCTAATGGTCGGGGGTCCCTTTACCTTTACCTTTACCTATCTCCTCTTAGTCTCCTCCTCATCAGGCTAAACATACCCAGTTACTTCAACCATTCCTCATCAGGCTCAGTTTCCGGACTCAGTGCTTTCCATCAGCTTCGGCCAGTGGCCCAGCTACACCCCTATCTGGACAGGGATAATAATAATAATAATAATAATAATAATAATAATAATATTTTATTTATACCCCGCCCTTCCTGGTTCAAAAACTGGGCTCAGGGCGGCTAACGACAAATTTAAAACACTTAATTGTAAAAGCAGCATAAAACACAGTCTAAAAACATGAATAACAATAAAATTCAAAGTTCAGAAATCAATTTAGGGGAAATCCATCTAATAAATGTTAGATAATCACCAGGGCTAGCTGGCTGAATTAGTCCTACTTGGCCAGTGAAAAGGCCAGGGGAGAATTAGCTGTGGGGTCTCAGAGCGGGTAATCTTCATAAAAGGGGAGGGGGAGGGAAGAGAAGGGAAAATAAAAGATCAGGCTGAATTCAAATTAAAAGCCAGGCGGAATAGCTCTGTCTTAAAGGTCTGGCGGAAGGAGGTTACATCCTGCAGGGCCCTGGTCTCCTGGGACAGAGCATTCCACCAGGTCGGAGCCATCACTGAGAAGGCCCTGGCCCTGGTGGAGGATAGTCTGACTACTGTTGTCTATGCTCTGGTAACCTCAAAGTTAGATGACTGCAATGCGTTCTACATAGGGCTGCCTTTGGAAACTTCAGTTAGTGCAGAATTCAGCAACCAGGTTCCTCACCAGAGCAAGACGGTTTGAGCATATTTCACCGATCCTGGTCCAACTGCACTGGCTACCAATTAGTTTCCCGGTCCAATTCAAAGTGCTGGTTTTGACCTATAAAGCTTTAAACGGCTCAGGACCGCAATACCTCAAGGACCGCCTCTTCCCATAATAACCTGCCCTGAAATCACCTTCTGACTCCTTTCTTTGTGTCCCTCCTCCTTGAGAAGTCAGGGGGGTGGCAACACAAGAACGG